CCGTTAAATTCAGACCCTTCAAGACCTGACAATTACAGAAGAAGAAAAAAGTAATGATAATCAATCAATTGAATATAATTACAAAATGTTTCAATAATCCCCCCAAAAACACAGTCTAGTAAATAATTTCAAAATAGTAAGCAGATACTTTTATGAATTTCCTTATTAACATAAACTCATACTTTGACATCCGGTCTGGATGGGTATTGAAAATGCACATCTTCAAACTGTATATTGCCCTCTATAGGTGGTGTTTCACCATCACTGCTACTGCTATCAATTGATGGAATCTGCAGGAAATGAGTGATGGGTAATTAAAAAAAAAAATGCCTTGATAAAGAATTATGCAAAATTTTGTAGTGATGTAAAAAAAATAGTTTAGCTTTCAAGTGGTGAATTCGAGAAATTGAATTTTTTACCCGATGCAATAGTGAATAATGACACTCACCGAATCAAGGATATCCCAAATAGTAGCAGCTGCACCTCTAGCAGTGGCGATATCCCCAATGGAAGGTGCTGCATTCCCCAGTGAGAATGCACCAATCAACACAGCAAAGAAAACCTTAAACGAGATTGACAATAATCTTCAGAAATAATATCTTATATTTTAGTTAAGAAAGTTCAAACAATGTTAAAAAGTCTAAAGTGCGGGTATGTAATGTGATAATCCTCTGACCACAATATAATGTCTGTACATGTATGTATAATTAGTCCTTCATTGCACAAATTGTATGGAATGAGAGTTCTCAAGTCTAAGTCGATGATACAGAGGAGTATTAACCAGTTCTTTCACAGACTCACTCATTTTTCATAGTGTAATGTATATTTGGTGGGAGATTTCATGATCAAAATGGCTGAACTTCTTTAATTTGCCAAAGAACTTCATCATATATGTATCACACTGTTTGCTTACTGTTATCTTATAAGTCATTGGCATATTGCATAACAGGGTTCTCCCCAGAAAAAATGCATAGCGCCGGGGCTAATTTGCATAATAATTTGCATATCATTTACATACCTTTCCTTCATTGATTAACAGAACTTATTTACAATTATGAATATTAGTGAGCTCAGTCACAGGGCAAATATTTTTTTTAATGGAATCAACACATTATGTTTCACAATTTAGAAGAGTTTGAAACATTCTCGAAATACAAATGCTGCAGACTAAAAACAAACACATTATTGTTGCAATTTAATTGTTTTGTAAAACGTTGAAGGAAACGCATTCAAAACGTTAAGCCAGATTTATGTTCACGAATCTCATAATTTTATTCACTCCAAAAACATTCTCCTTCAAAAAATCGATCACTTAATTGACGTATTGTTGTAATTTATTATTCGTACAATCAACTTC